GGAGGATGAAGGTGGAGGCAGAGAGAAGAATAAGGAGACTGTTACAGACATTTGTGAGAGTTGGGAAGAAACGTAGTGAGGATGGAGAGGAGCAGGTCTATTATGTCTAAATCAGATGTGGGAGTGTAGGAGAGAAGGGGTCCAGGATGATTCTCAAATCTTTGACTTTGGGTACTTGGCCATGGGACAATTTATCCATATAAAGAAGTGAGGAGCAAAGTTGAAGTAGAAAATGATGTTTGCTTTTGCAGATAGATTCAGATGGAGCTATCCAGTAGACAGTCAATATGTGGGACTGGAGTGCAAAATAGAGTTTGAGCTGGAAACATGAGTTAGTGTAAAAATCACACCATTGTCGGACTGCTAAAGTGAGAAGCAGGCTTTGTTTTACTCTTGACAATTACAATACTAAAGCATTTTATGTTAATACCAAGAGTATAAAACCAAAAAACAAAATTCGCTGCCATTGAGTTGATCCCGACTCAAAACGACCCCTCCTTGGGTTTCCAAGGAGGTATCTCTACGGAAGTAGATTGCCCAGTCTTCCTTCTGAGGAGTGGCTGGTGGGTTTGAACTGCCAGCCTTCTGGTTAGCAGTCAAATGCCTTAGGCACTACGCCACCAGAGCTCCCAAGAGTATAAAGGAAAACAAAATATAACCCTCAATCCCACTGCTCAGATAACCCCTGTTGAAAGGGAGGTAAAAATAATATATATTGTTAGAAAATGCAAACAGTTCAAAAAGGTATAAAAATGAAAGTGCAGGCCTCCCTGCATTCCCCCATTTCCTTAACTACTGTTAATTTCTTCTGTTTCTTTCTAGGAAAAAAAAATGCATATGCCCTCTGGATTCTGTATATCCCCCAAGGGATCCTTCCATATACAGTGTTTAAGAGGTCTGTTTTATTCAGCAGATTAACCTTCTCATCACTTTGCCCGGCTCCACAAACCCATTTGTCCTGAAGGGGTAGAGCTGTGAATTCACTGAAGGAGAGGAAGGCTTGAGGATCAACGCGTCCCTAGGTCAGGCTTGTGGGCTGGTCCAGGGTATGTACCTAGTAAAGAATAACTGAATGAGTTGCTGCCGCATCTTAGAAATTTGGAGATCCTCTGTTTTAGGTCCAGTTGGCTAGGTGACTTTTTAAGAGCAAATGTTTGGTGAGTCCTGACTGAACGTGCAGTTCTGTGTATGTGCCTCTGTGTGTGTGTGGCAGGGGGAGGGAAGGCAGATGACTCGTTTGTACCCTAGGGTCACTGGAGGGCAGAACTGAAAAGGCCCAGAGATCCTCTTCCAAGTCTTTTGCTTTTTGATGGAAAAACTGAGGTCCAGAAAAGGGTTATGATTCCCTAAAGTCAGTCACATGGCCTGCTGAGGGCAGAGCTAGCACTGGGAACTCCAGTGAGTACAGCAGTTGTGTACTGGAAGGCTGGCAAGCTACTCTTGCCCCTTTCTACCCCTTCCCCTCCAGTCATAAAAGCATCAACAATCACCAACTTCAAATCCTCAGACAGAGGTAAGACCTTTGAGACACCTATGCCACCCTTAAGGAGCTCTGGTGGCACAGTGCCTAAGGCATTTGTCTGCTAACCAGAAGAGTAGCAATATAAACCCATCAGCCACTCTGCAGAAGGAAGATGGGGCAATCTACTTTTATAAAGATGTACTGCCTTGGAAACCCAATAGGGGTAGTTAAAAGTTGGAATTGACTTGATGGCACCTTGGCCTGTATGTTACAGGCAGGGTTAACATCCTACACCTATTAGAGGTGGTGTGGTTAGTATAGAAGGAAGAGCACTGGACTGGGAGTCAGGAAGCCTGACACATCCCACCACATGGCTGTGGGCCAATCACACCCTTCCTTTCTGAAAGCAGGGTTGTTGTTGTTGTTATGTGCCATCGAGTCAGACCCAACTCATAGCGACCCCTCTTTGAGTTTCCGAGCAGTATCACTATGGAAGTAGATTGCCCCATCTTCCTTCCAAGGAGTGGCTGGTGGGTTTGAACCGCCAGCCTTCTGGTTAGCAGTCAAGTGCTTTAGGCACTATACCAAGCAGGGTTAGGTCTAACTAAATCTTCAAGGTCCTTCCTAGCATTATTGCTCTAAGGTATTAGAGCAATAGACTGCTAACCAGAAGGCTGGTGGTTCAAACCCACCAGCCACTCCTCAGAAGGAAGATGGGGCAATCTACTTCCGTAGAGATACCACCTCAGAAACCCAAGGAGGAGTTGCTATGAGTTGCATCCAACTCGATGGCAGTGAGTTTGGTTTGGTTTCAGATATTAAATTATGTTGTTGTTGTTATGTGCTGTCGAGTCAGACCTGACTCATAGTGACCCCTCCTTGGGTTTCCAAGGTGGTATCACTACGGAAGTAGATTGCCCAACCTTCCTTCCGAGGAGTGGCTGGTGGGTTTGAACTACCAGCCTTCTGGTTAGCACTCAAGTGTCTTAGGCACTACAATTTTGTGATTCTAAAATCCTGGGCTCCCATATTCCAGGAATGCTGCTCCAGGTCTTTTACTCTTTGCTGAATCCTATGTGACACCTGACCTGTTGTGGTAATAGGAAGGGGTTTGATACACATTTTTCAATTTGAGACCAAGGTCCAAAAGACCAGATCCCTCTCTTCAGAGGATGTGAAGTCAGGCAGGACCCTTGGAGTCAAGTCAGCCCAGATCACCCAGGAACAGTGCAGAGGAAGCAGATTGGGATGAACTGCAAGGAACCATCTCAGGAGCCTGGCTGGATTTTCAGTAGCCTTAGCAGGTAGGCCAGGCAGGGGTGAACACCCCCATTTTACACAGAGGGAAAATATAAAGCTCAGAGAGGGGAACTGAGGCATTTCCAGACCATGCGAAATCTTATTGTTCCTTCTCCAATGCTCCATTGTGCACATCAGGCAAGGCCGGCTGAGACAGGCTGTGTGTGTGTGTGTGTGTGTGTGTGTGTGTGTGTGGAATCTAGAAGTCAGGGGAACAAGACACAGGCTCCGGAGACCTTAGACAGTGGGTCTCAACTCCTAGAGAGGTAAGGATCCCCCAGGAGGGCACTACATATGTAGGCACTGGGGCCCTACTCCCAGACAGACTAAATTGAAATGGTCTCTGGTAGGGATTCGGGCACTCCTCCTTTTTTTTTTTTCAAACAAACAACCAAACTTGCACTTTGGAATTCTGAGATACTCTAGCCTAGACTCCTTCTGATGGAAAACACTTCCCACGAAAACGTAAGTGGCTGAGAGGCCTGGGTTCAGGTCCCAACTTTAATTCGCTATGAAATCTGTGTGAGTTTTCGAGTGAGCGAGTTGGATTCTGAAAAAAAAAAAAAAAAAAAAAAATTCTCAAGCACTTAAACATTGTGATCTCCGCGTCAGCAGGTATGCCGTTCCTATTTGAGTAAGAGAAAACTGACCTGGAGAGAGGAAGGGTCCTGTCCGAAGATACTGGGGGAGGCAGGGGCAGGCCCGAGTTGAGCGGGGCTCTCTTCAAGACCTGGGCGTTCCGCTGACTCGGCTCACCCAGGTCGGAAGAGTGCGCCCAGCCTTTGTCGCTCGTGGCGCAGGTCCGCGGGCCTGCACTGGTTGGCCGCCGGGTAGCTGCAAACAGCTTGGGGCTCCAGCCGGCCGCCGCCTGTCAAACCCTCCGTCCAGCCCCTCGCCCGGCCCCCAGGGGAGGAGGCCCCGCCCTCACGCCGCGATTGGCCCCAGTGGGGCTGCCGCTGCGAGCCAGTGGCCCGAGCCGCTGTCCGGCAGGCGGAGGCTCCGCTCCCGCCCCCCGGGTGCCGCCCCGCAGGACGCGGCGGCGGCAGGGGCTGCGGCGCCAGTGGAGGCGCGCGGAGCCGTGTGCCCCGCAAGCTGCAGCGACCGCGGTGAGGTAAGGAGGGGCGCGGCCCGCGGCCCGGACAGGAGGCGGGCGGCGGGGCCTGAGATCCGAGACTTGGGTCCCAGCGACGCTCGAGTCCGGGAAATTTTGGATGGTGTTGGGAACGTCGAGGGGAAAGGAGAATTTGGGGGCCCTGGGCCCTCATTCTGGGAGGGATGACGCAAAGGCCAAACCTCTGGGGTTGGGCACCCATCGTGTGTGTGGCTAGTATGAGTCTGTGGCTGTTGTGTTGCTGAGTGTCTGAGCCGGAGAATGAGTGAATGTGATGATAAGCGTGGCACGTCGTGTCCCCAAGTATGTGTGTGTGTGTGTGTGTGTGTGTGTGTTAGAGTCGCTCTGAGTCGGAATTGACTCGATGGTAATGGGTTTGGCTTGGGTGTATGCCTGGGATCGCGCTGAGCACGGGGGTTGCTGACTTTGTTCGTGGGTGTGCGCGTGAGAAATGGGTTCATTTTCTCTGATGTGCGCGGGAATGTGTGTGTCTCGGTGTGCGCGTGGTGAGTTCATGTCGCAAGAGTGAGCGTTCTTCATCAGATTCCCATTTTCCTAGTCTGGGTGGTCGCGGGTGTGTCTCCAAAGCTCTGCGCTGGGAATCCGCGCGTGCACAGTCCGCGGCCTTTGCGCGAAGCCGGTCCCGAAAGCCCACGAGGCGCGCAGCTGGTGATTCACTGCAGCCGCTTCCGAGGCTTCGCATCCCTTTGTCGCCCTGTCCCGGTCCCACTGGGTGACACTGGACAGGCTTCCTTCCCTCTCCATGCCTCAGTTTACTCATTTGGCTGAAGAGGGCCGGTCTGGGTGGAGGCGGATTTGGGCAAGAGGGCGCAGGGGCTTCGCAAGAAAGTGTTCAGGCTGCGAGTAGCTGAGGCCCTCAACCATCCAGGCTAGGGAGTGAGGGCCGCTGCTGCGCAGAGGAAGGGGCTTTTACGCGGGATCAGGTGGGTTTGAGCTTCGGATCAGGGTGGTTGTGGTGGCGCTAACCCATTTCAGAGACGGATGAGGGATAAACTGAGTGGCGGTGACTTGCCCAAATCTCGGTCCAGGGAAAAGAGGGATTCGCTTGTTGGGTTTTAACGCTCCTGTGCTGTCTCCCTTCCCCAGGACCGCGGCGCGACTTGCGCCATGCACTGCGAGTTGGCTGAGGCGCACTCCGACAAGAGGCCGAAGGATGTCCCCGGCGTGCCGGGTCCTAGTCGGGGGCCCACTGGCCTCGGCGCTCGTATGGCTTTCAGGGTCACCGTGAGCGGCGGCGGCTGCGGCGATGCGGGCTCGCGGGACCTGCTTCCTCGGACGCTCGCGCCGCCGCCGCGCGCCCATGATCTCCTGAGGCCCCGGAGCCCAAGAGACTATGGCCCATCCAAGGCCGCTACCACCGCCGCCACCACCGTTGGGAAAGGTGAGTCCAGCCCCACCACAGCGTGCCTGACTGCGGGTGTGAAGAGATTGGACCTGCGAGGTTTCGCCACAGCAGCAAGGCTTTGTGGGGAGCCTCTGGCGAACTTAGGGAAACTTTCTCCAGAGTCCCTCAATTTCTCTCTAGTTGTTTAGGGACTCGCCTGTCAGTCTGAAGTGAGTCCCAGTTGTAGGAAGCATCTAATTTAAATGTGATAAGCCTGTTTGGGGATGGGAGGGGATATGTCTATAGAAAGCTCAGGTTACATAATTTTGCTTCTGTATGTTTCTGATGAAAGCTGTGTGAATATTGTCAAAGTCTTATTGTAAATTAGGGCTTTTTGAGTTTGCAAGTAGCAAGTCAGGCATCTCTATCTCTGAGTCAGCTAAAGGCATATTTTGAAGTCTTCTGGTCTCCCTAAATAACAAAAACCAGAGGCTTTCAGCACAACTCCTCTTCTCTTGGGACCTCAGTTTCCCCATCTGTCAAGTGAAGAATTATACCAGATGATTTCTGTGTTCCTGCCAGAAAATTTTATGAATCTATAATCCAACTTGATTCAAATCCTGACTTAAAAATGGCTTTTTCTGTACATGATGATTCAGAAACATAGCCTTTGGTCAAAAGTTACTTTGCCAGTATTCTTCCTCTACCTGGCAAAGTTGGTGGGCATGAGGTGCAGACCCCAGCACAGTTTATGGGCTCAGATTCAGCAAGGATGCTGGGATTTTCATGAATATGTTCTCATCACAGTTAGTTATTGTTGAGACATTATTTATAAGTTTTGTGCTGTTAGATAATTAACCAGAAATTGGGGAAATCTGTTAAGGCCCTTGGTCCCTCTCCCCGCCTTCCCCCTGAAGAAACCATGGCCTTGGGGTTTGATTAGATCAGAGGTTGGGACCTCTTCCTTTCATTTCCAGAGGAAGACAAAACCATTTGTGTTTTTCAGCTTTATAGGCATCACTCCTTTAGCATCAGCCCTGGCAACTCAGAAAACATTGAGACTGGCTTACTTGTAGAGATGAGAGCTTCTTCTGGATGAAAAATACCCAACTCCCCAAATTCAGAGACTGGTAAAATGAAATAAACATAAGTAGTCCACCCTCACTTTTTTTTTTTTTTTTTAAAATACCTGACTTTGTGGGAGAGAGAAAGTTATATCTTGTCCCATTATTTTAAATGTCAGTCTCTTCAAGAGACAGAGGTCATTTTTTTAGAAAGGTAGATATGGAAGCAAATGCCTGCGGAATATCAGTGCTGGAATCCACGTATAAGGTTCTCTTACCAGAGGGAGAGAGGAGAGCTGTGCAGCTATGCAGCAAGTTATGAGTTATGTTTTCTGCTGTAGCTTGCCCCTTTCCATGTGCAGTCTTCTATTAAACCGTTACCCACTTGCAATGTTTTGCATTTAAAAAATGGTGGCCCTCATCCGACATTAAGTCCTCAGCAGACCTAGTGAGTGGAGCTCCCAAATGTAGCCTTTGTTTCAAAGCTGTGGTTACAGGAACCTTTCATCTGAATGCTTTACATATGATCTTCCTACTTTCATCCCCCAAATCCAAATTATTTTTATCCCTTCACCCTCAATGTTTAAATATGAGCTCTTTAAGTCATGATTTTATTTGGAAATGGCAGAAGAGAATAAAAGGATGGGAGAAGAACCTTTTTCTTTGTACCTTATTGGTCACTCTGGTTAAGTTTTTCCCAGGAGTCTTCAAAACTCCTTTCTTCACAGCCTCCCAGTAAGGCTGGTGGGGTAGGGTTTATCAGACCCATTTGAAAGATGAGGAAACTGAGGCCTGGAGCTAGGGGGTGTCCTGTAAAAAGTGACTCAGCAGGTCAGAGGCAGAGATCTCTGGCTAGTCTATTGCACAGAGACCTGGCTTGGAGAAGATTTCAACCTACCTCTGTGTTGCTGTTGGCCAGTCCGTAAATGGCCCAACACAAAACTAGCTTCCCAGCAGCTCTCTTAAAAGTGCCACGAAGAAATGGCACTGCCTTACTGTCCCTACTCCCATCGAAGTATTCTCCAGACCACATAACCTTTTGAATGTGTGGTGTCTGCCTTCGAGTGCTCAGCTTATTGAAAACAGACAGATAGGAAAACCAGTTGAAAGATATTTATTGGCCCTGCTGGAAATTGTGAGACTTGGCCACCTATGATCTGTGGAACCTCTATTTCATTCCTTTGAGCCTTAATTTCCTCATTTGTAGAATTACAGTGAGACTTGCTTTGAAAAACAATGAGTGTGAAGGGGCCGTTCTCAGTGCCTGGTTATTTTTGGGGTTACTATTGCAATGTGTTTAATATTCTCAACCTCTGGTTTTTCATTTGCACAGTAGATAATAATGCCTGCTGCCTTTGGTAATTAAAACAGTAGTTGCAAACTCTGTAAACTAAAAAGCTGGAAGAATCACTTTTATTAATTTGTGCAAGGCACCATGCTAGGCTCAGTGACACTTGAGATGAAATGTGTAGAGCAAAGAGGAAGAAAGGTTTGGATTTCAAAATGTTGACTATGAGGAGTGCTAACTCTGGAAGGTCAGAGGAGCCAAGCCTTAGGTCTTTTGTGGCCTCTACTGCCCAGTGAGGAGAGAGAAGACAGTATTTGCTTGGCTTGGGGTCAGGTTTCAGATGGTCTGCTGTCTGCTTTGGACAGACCCGAAGCAGAGGTTGAGAATACATTCTTGAATCCAGCAGTTTATCTGTAAACGTTGCGGTCCTATGTGTTTCCACATCTGGGGTCAGGAGGCACTGGGGATGGTGCGACGTCATGCACTAATGTTGTCATCATTTACAATAAGAATCACGATCTGTTTATGGCAGAGTCCCGTTTATCCAGATTCCAAACAGTTGGAAAGGCCAAATTACCAGATGCTGCATTTTTCTTTCTTATTTTTAAACACCCGACACTCTGCTTTTATAAGTCCTGACAAGGAAAGAAGGTAAACATCTGGGCTTTATGCAAGCGAACAGCTTTGTGGCGGTGCCCTAATGACGCTCGCTCTGTGCACAGTGCTTTACAGTTTTCAGCGGGTTTCCCACACATTACCTCATTCTGCCCTCATACCAGCTGTGCTCTGCCTACCTTGTGCAACAGATGTAGCAGTAGTGCTTTGCACTCTGTGAAGTGCTCGGCAGAAATTTGCTCTTAGGAATATGATTCCCACTTTATTGATGAAGACATTCAGGCTTAAGGATTTGCTCAAAGCTGCAGAGACAGTAAGTGGCAATTTCCAAAGCTTCTAGCTCCAAATATTTTATTCTGATTCCACAATTTGTCTCCTCTATCTGTGTGTTAGTGGTTGAGAGCTGGTGTTCACAATGAAGGCCTTCTGAATGTTCCCAGAGAATGTAAAAATATTTTTACTTCTGGTATTTCTCCTGGTTGGAATCTTTGGAAATTGGTAACTAGTATCTGTGCCATGGTTAGAAAACTTACCAGATGTTTCCGTTTGTCCAGAGTTGCTGTTCCCAGACCAAACCAGATAATGAACTCACTATTAACTCACAGCGACTCATTGGGCCTTTTTCACCATATATGAGACACTTCCTAGAAATAAGGAGATCAGTGCTCATGATAAATATGAACTCCGTCATTAGTAAACAGCTGTCAAAACATGGTTGTAAATACCAAAAAGTAGCCAATCTTGTAACTAAAAAAAAAAAAAAAAATTTTTTTTTCTTTTTTTTTTTTAAGAAGAGGAAGAAAAAGAAAGCCATTGTGTGCTTGAGTGTTAGGCTTGGGCTAGTGATGGTGGAGAGTAAGACATGACCAGGTTTGGGTTGTGTTACCTGGCAAAGTTTTTCATCTGTGTAAAAGGCCACTGTGATGTTCTGGGGAGGCCTCACAGGGGCTAGCGCATCCGTAATAGAAAGATAGGAATTATTTTGAAGCATTTTTCCCCTCCGGCTCTAGTGGGCAATTTGCTTGCATTTCATCCATTTTAAAGTGCTGGTCCTGTGATCCGGAAATAATCAGATCCAAATTTTTTCGGTGCTTGAGGTTTCAAATAAGGGGGAGAAAAGCCTGCTAGCCAAATGTCAGGCTCTGTGAGACAAAGAGAAACATGTATGTGTGTGGGTATACAAATAAGATAGGAACATGTTACGTCTCCAGTCCTAAGAGTTATGTATCCGACAAATCTTTTATAGGCATGTAGCGGAAATATAATTCCCAAAGATTTCCAAAGAATCTTGTTCGGCTAGAATTTCTTTTCTCTTCCCGCCTCCCAAGATCTCTAGAAGCTGCTAAGACTTGGAGTACAAAATAGACAGGGGACCATAACATGAGATCATAACTTAATTTAGGCCTAGTTGTTTCTGAGTTGTTAGTTTACCTGTAGTGCGCTTAGCTGGGCTGAGGTCTCAGGACCCTCTTAGCTGTGTTGGTCCATCTGTGATTAAAAAATTAAATTTCTTTATATGCTGTGGTTTCCCTTCACACTTCCCCTCCTTCTGAAAAAAACAAAACCCACCCCACCTCTGAGTTATTCATCGCCCTGTGTTTCATTTACGTGAGAAGCCAAGTGAGCCAGCATACTTATTTTTACAGTGCGTTAAAATCCCATTACAGGCATAAGTGCACAATGAATCATTTTAAAAAAAATATATTCTTATGTTCTTTGTTCTAAATGTTGCATAATTATCATCATTTTCTTTGGTTTTATTTCGTGAAGTTTGTCCAGCATTCTAGAAGGATGCAGAAACTATTAGAGCAGCGCTTTCAATCCTCTTTTGGATAGGATTAGGGAAAAACAACAACAACAACAAACAGATAAACACCAACTTTATTTGGAAGTTGCCCAGCAACTATCTCTAACTGGCTTTTACTAGAGAAGATAATTTCTCAGTTTTCTTGGAAAAGTATTTCCTGTTTTGAAGCTGATAAGTTACCACTTACTTCAACAACCTTACCTTATATATGTATGATTATATTCAAAGTTAAATTATAATGTGTGGGTTGCTATTTAAAAAAAAATTTTTTTCCTAATAGGGA